TCCGCTGTCTGGGCTAGCGTTAGCAAACTCCTCGTCAGTGTCCACAGGCTCTTCCTCAGGTTCACCGGCCTCTGCGATCAGGGTATCGGCTTTGTCTTCTGTTGTTGCTGCAGCAGTCCCCGCCTCTTCCTCGTCACTGCTCCCCTCCTCCTCCTCCTTGGCTTCATTGCCCTCGAGGAACTTATTCCAACGCGCTATTCGGGCCTCCTCGTCCTCTTGATCTTCCGTCTTCTTGAAACTCTCCTGCCCATCCCAACGAGCCACGGACAGGATCCGCGTCCTTTGGCCTTGGTTGTGCTCACCACAACCATCGGGATCTGGTGCGGGATACGTAAAGAGGGCCTTATCGAGGAATTTGATGGCCACATCGGCCTCCTCGGGGCTGCTGAATGTCACCGAGACGATGCCCTCCTTATGAGACTGAAGTGGTAAAAGGAGCGGCATATATGGTATCTACTAACAAAATGTAAGTAGGCATACATTTTAAAAGATCTTTACGCACATCGTAAACCACAATCTTCTTCACCACGCCGACCTTTGCGCACTGGATGCGAACGCGCTCGCGAACAATTGGAATGAGGCTGACATCAACCTGAAGTATTGAAGCAACAAAGGAGTTACGAAGTGGCTCACACTGAGACACCACAAACTTATGATAATATTGGATTTTTGACTCACCCCCAGGTCAGCTTCATCAAAAACACTCCTCAGGATGACCACACGCTCTTTCTTTCCACGAATGAGCCTGCTTGCATCAACGCCCCACTTGAAGAGTCTACAAGGAGAGCAAACGGTTGAAGGGCAATTGGAAGCGGAAAAAGGTGTGTATGTCTACAAAAAGGAGATGGGAAGCTAGAGAATGAGGCATACTTTTCCTGCTGCTTCTTGAACTTCTTTTTCTCCTTCGCCGTCAGTCGTCGGTGTTTGGTGGCATCAAAGTCTTTTTTCGGCTGGAACTTCGCACGCTCCACATGCAGCGTGTAGCCGGGTTCGTAGAGCGCCCCGTCGAGAATTTGTAGAGCCAAGTCAACTGACTCGATCTGTCAAGGGGGCCAACAAAAAAGAAAGACGCTCGGGCCAGATGCCAGACGGTCGCCTTGCAACGCACACACCCACACAGGTCGGGCCCGTTGCAAAGGGATGGAGACTGTGGAAAATTCATCAAAGGCAACCCCCCTTCACCCCCAACCGATTGATGGTGTCAAAAGTGAAAGAGCCGATAGACGTAAAAACGGGGGTTTGTAGTATTGTGACATTCAGCACGTCAATATTATATTCCTATTTTTATTTGCTACTAACTGCTTGCTAGTAACCGGAGTTATCCTAAGCACTTGTGCTTATTTCCGCTCAGTCCTCTGTCGATTTTCCATGTCCTGTGCCCCTTGACCTCGTTTGCTGCCATCAGATTCGTGGACTCCCATCGTTCTTTGTTCCAATGCCCCTTATCCTTATTCGCTTATAAACTGGCAGCCACGCGTCTGCGTTATTCGCACAACTGCTCGTCTAAGCGCCTCGAGTGCATGTCTACCCTCTTTTTGATTTCCACCCCGTCTCTTTTACCTATCGAGCCCTGTTAATCTTACCGTTTATGTCTACAAATCATATCCGAGTTATTCCGACTGTCTTCTGACAGCTTTTCACCTCGGGTGTGTCTGATCTGATGAATAAATTAACATTGAATCGCACGAAAAGCTAAGCAATGCTAACAACTATAGTTAACTAAGTAAACTGAACTAAAGTTAACCAAACGAAAAACTAAACTGTATTCAAACTAAATAAGACCGATAAAATAAATCATAAATTAAAAACTAAACTAGCATAATCCTACCGGTGTCGTAAGACAGAATTCGAGGGCAAGGGGTGTCTAAGGTGGTCGACCAACTTTATTGATTGGGCCAAATACTACCGACGTAGGCTAAACGAGACATTTGAACAGTTGTCAGTTGACTATGATTTCTTAGTCAAAGTTGGATATGACCTCCCCTCCCCTAGCGCTCCATGGTCGAGATAGAAGCTGAAGAAAGGACTCCGAAGGATTTTGACCAGCGACGGCATTCATAATCACGAATTAAACTGGCTACATGTCGTAGAATAACTGCAACTGAATCTTAAATAGCTGGCGTGTCAGCCATGCAGACCACAGAAATCGGATCAGGGGCAGCCTTTACCAATTCCGACAATATTCCCAACTGACTACGTGGACGACACCATCTGACACAAAAGAGGTCAGAGTAGGTGAAACCTCGGACGGCATCGCTTTCAGTTCAGAACAAAAGATGACCGGAACGTCTAGACAGGTTATTAAGGAGGGTTGTGTTCGTTGGTTGGGGGAAGGGGGGGGGGCGAAAAGAAGAACCATGAGATTTGAGCGTAGGCAAAATCGTTCGAAGACCTTCCGGCGATTCACATATCTAACCTACACGTTCCGATGGGGTTGGCCAAAGGCACCCCGCTCTACTTAAACCAATGATCGATTTTAGTCCGCGGAGGAGCTTAGGGATATACCTAGTGGGCGGTTTTTGTAGTTGCAGAAAATCTGTCAAAAACGACACATAACTCGGATGACTTCTTACCTCTACAAAACGGAAAAACATTACACTTCCCCTTCCCCCTCCCCCCCGGAGCAAGGCCGATGTGGAAAGTTGAAACATGGGTTGATGAGCGAAGACTGCAAAATACACAATATCGATCTTAAGTGTATGATGACGGCAAATAAGCGCGAAACGGTTCTGTATCAATCTACCACCAAACTCTGTCATCTCGCCTCTGCTATTGTAGCCTGTTCATGACCCATTACTGTTTGAATAAATATCCCACTTGCAACCACAGAGAATGCAGGTGACGAAGCACTGATGAACTTCACTTCAATTAAGTATTAATGATCCATCTGGTAGAGCCCGTTGGTGGACCATCTATGACGTCTGTGTGTACGCGCATGTTTGTGTTTCCAAAGCCAACTGGTTGTCCGGTTTATGTTTGGTTAAAGGATGGTCAATAAACCCGAAACGGTGCTGTGTCAATCGACCCTTGGGATTGAATTCGGCAAATGCGCATATGCAGTTGAGGCGGGTGA